AATTATAGTCCTTGTCCTACCCGTTCGGCTAACGCCCCTCCACCAGTCAAGGAAGCATTGGGTGAGAGTGGACACCCATTAAACTACCATTTTATAGGCAGTAACCTTATACCCCCTTATAGACTGGCTTCGTGAATGAAGTCTACTAATGGTAAGACGACTTGCTCTATATATATATATATATATATATATATATATATATATATATATATATATATATATATATATATATATACACTTATAATATTATAAAGTATAAGGGTTGATTTTTAACTTTTGAAAATCTAGGGGTTGGAACTAATGTATTAAAAGTGACTTTTTGTAACGACGTAAAAATTTAAAACAATTTTTCATTTTAAAAAAATACAACCATGACCCATATAATAGTTCTCAAAATCTCATAATGTCAAATGTCATAATAATAACAAATCCCATAATCTCAAACGACTCTTCTTTCAGTGTGTACAGATCATGTCGGCACCTTCCCGCGATCCCCGCTGGTACCTGAAACACATATCACACAAACGGTAAGCATAAATACTTACTGAGTTCCCCAAAATACCACATACAACACATACGCCACTCAAGGCCATAACTCTATGGGACCTTCCGATCCATGTGTTTCAGGGGACTTCCCCCCCATCCCTGGTAGACCTTCCAGCCCTACTCGTATGACCTTCCGATCCTCATCATCTTGACCTTCCAGTCCATACACTGTTGACCTTATGGTCCATATCATACTACTCATAACATCCATAGCACATACATATCATATAACAACATACATCACATTCTACTCGTAGCACATAAGACCTTCCGGTCACGTATAATTACCACTTTAGGTAAAGTATAGTAAGAAGACTAACCTCGTACGATGTAGGATAACCTCTCGCGCATGATAACCCAACCTAGCCTCCTCTTATTAACATAATATCATCTCTAATCAATACTTTCTCATGTCCTCCCTTCTAAAGGACCGGTAGAAGACTATTCTACCCCTCCCTGAACTAGTTTAACCAAAACCCTAAGGTCAACTGAAGTCAACGCTAGTCAACGGTCAAACTTTGACCAGACTCGTCGGGTGTACAAAAATGACTCGGCGAGTCCAAGCGTGTCCTCTGAATCCTTCTAAGTCCTCACTCAACTCGTCGAGTGAACCTTCTACTCGACAGGTTACCACTAGACATGAATCGTGGGGCAACCCCAACTCGACTCGTCGAGTTCTCTTATGGACTCAACGAGTTTCTACCATAGCCATGCTCAAATGACCTGCTGAGGTCAGATCTGTTTCTCTAACCTATAGATATGACTTCCCAATGCTCAATAATCACGTAAAGGTCCAATCTTGGCACTCATGCAACATCCATAATGCTTCTTTTAGTGAAATAGCTTCTAAAATGGCACCCTAGGTTCATATCTCCAAAGGAATAGCATAAAGCAGGATGGTTGGGACTCTCTGGACCTCTTAAGGTCCATATCTAAGAGTTATTCCACATTGGGACCTCAAAAGCTTTGAATCCAAGCTAAAGAAGAGGAAAGAAAACCCTAGATTCAAGTAGATCACCATAAACAAGAGATTGAGCATAGATCCATACCTCTAGTAGCCTCTTCTGATAAAATGGTAGCAGATTTGAGCTCCTTAATCCGTTTAGCTTGCCCTCCTTCCTTCTTCCTTGGAAAATCACACTAGAATGGATGAAAATGGCTTCCTCTCTCTCTCTCTCTCTCTCCACACTCTCTAGTTCTCTGGTGCTTTCAAGTATGAAGGTGGCCGCAAATGAGAGCCATAAGATCCCTTAAATAGGGCACATGCCCGAGGATTTAGGATTTCTGCCCACAGTGCGGACTCGTCGAGTCGACTCCCCAACTCGTCGAGCCCCTTCATTAAATCCAGTCAGCGAATCGCGATCCTACTCGACGAGTATAGGCGTCAACTCGTCGAGTCCCTTTTTTTTTGACAAAAGTAAATAATTAGAATATGATACCTAAAATTCCGGATTTTACACTTTACATGTTCCAAAACTTGAGGGAAAGTTTTGTAACTTTCAAAACTTTTCATCTTTCATAACTTAAGAGTTAATGATGTAATAAAATGAGTGACTTTTCATTTTATGTAACCTATGTGTTTAATGATGGACTTTAAAAGAATGAATTTTGGTAATCCATAACTTGAGGACAAATTATGGATTCCATTAAACACATAATCATCAAGAATTAAACTAACAAGAAAGTTACAAATAATTCCTATGATCTTCTAAGCTCGTAAGTTCATGAACATGCATATCAACAATTTCAAGAATCGTAAATAAACCATAAAAAACTTGAAATTTTGATAATAACCTTTGAAATTGGATTAACATAATTATTACCACATCAAAAACAGGTTTTAAGGTTCAAAAAACAGTTTAGGTTAATGATCCTCATCCAATTCCAAGCAAAATCGCGAAATTTTGCATATAGGGGCATCACCACGTCGTGGTACATATTGCCACATCGTGGTGAGCAGTCAAATGCGGAATTTTGATTTTTGGAAAAACATGTAGCATCAAGTATCAAGAAAACAACCCTATGCTCTAATACCACTGATGGGTTTTGAGCATTCTAACACTCCTATGGTGTACATGTAACCCTAGAAACCTTGGATCTATGTTTATCTATGATACATGCAAAATTGATTTTCCAAGGTTCTTAACCTATCTAGCATACAAGGAAACTTTTTATCATAAAAGATATTATGAAAACTTACATTGTAGTGATTTGGATTCCTTGGAAACCTTGTGGGCCTAGTACCCCAAGTGTGATGCCTCAAATGTATCACACAACAGCAAATGCACTTGGAATAAACCTTGAGAGAAATGTCACACAATTAGAATTGGCTATGCCCTCTATCTTGCATCTAGTAACTGATTTTAGTGAGCTTCATATCCTTTATATAGTGTGTTACAATTAGGGTTACACCATGTAAATCCTAATGTGACATGACTCTTCATTTCCATGACCCATGGGTTTGTAACTCCCATGGAGCATCTTATGGACCTTAGCCCAACTTGATAATCTGTGGAGCATCTAGCCCACTATACAAGTATGGATGATTTACACAAACAACCCATATATTTAATTAGTATCCTTTTGATCCCTTAATTAATTCTAGATTAATTCTTGATCAATACTAATTAAATAATATTATTATTAATATATTAGAACTTATAATATATTAATAAACCATAAGTGTTATTTCTCTCATTTTAGTTTATCCAAATGCATGATTCCATGCAACCCAAATGAACCATGCTGATCAGGTCAAGTACATCCCATAATAGTTATGAACTTAGACACCTAATCCAACAGTAAGACCTTGGAGGGTTTCCATGGATTCCTTATATGTTTGTATGCATCACTTATATGGTTTATGTAGCTTTTATAGGTATAATGATTATATGATTATGTGGATTGTGTGGAGTATGCTCTGGAGAACTCACTAAAAATTAGCTTACAGGTTGTTGATTGTTTTAGGTACTTCTGAGCCTAAGGGCAAGGGCAAGGCCTGATGGTGCGGCAAGCACTCTCACATGCATTTTCTTTTGGGACACTCTGATATTTGAAATAATAATTTGTTGATGTATGAATTTGAAAACAATTGTTTTGAAATTTTATGGATAATTGGAAATGTTTTGATATTTTAAAAATAATATACAAAAACTATAGTATTTTCACAAGAAGGATTATAGCAAATATAATAACATACACATAGGAAAACTTATTTTCATCGAGTCATTGTAGTCATCATTTTATTTAAAGTGATTTTGGTGACTTACGAAAATAGATGATTGAAATTATATATATATATATATATATATATATATATATATATATATATATATATATATATATATATATAGGAACGGCTAAAGCACACCTTCTAAGCTTTCGGAATGGAGAATTTGGAGGAGGCTAAGAACAATAAAGAATTTGGAATGGAGATTTTTAAGCTTTCGGAGGAAGCCAAGAACTACAAAGTAGTTCAAGTGGATATTTTAAATATGTTGAAAGTGGAGCTAGTTATGATGGTCATGTTTTTGGTGGTGGTGATTATGATGGGGTTTATGGTTCACAATGTTGTGGTTAAAGCACTGTGAAGTTGTGGGCATTAGTTAGGTTCAAGTGGAATGATGGTAGTAGTAGTTTAGGTGTAAGGGTATTTTTGTCAAGTTAAGCTGTAAGTAGATGCATGTGTTATGTATGGTAATATTTTGGTTTTGTAAGAGATGACAATGACAACAACTTATTATGTCTTAATGATAACAATGTATTAAGTCCTTTAACATACATATGTATAAAAATAACCAAATCATGGAAGGTAACAACAATTACTATTAAGTCCTTTAACATATACATATGTATTAACCTACTTACCAAGGTAACCAAAACACAGAAGGTAACACCAGTTATAGTGATCAAGGCATATATATTGATAACTTAACAATCATACCATGTCGTTTACAAAGCTTCGCATACATTAATGTCAGTTAACAACCTAAAAAAGGGAATGTACTTTACAAAGCTTCCCACAAACCACTACCATACCATGTAACCTAATTAGAACCAAACTTCCAATTCTACCAAAAATTATGGATAGGAATTGGAAGCTTGTTACCCAAAGTCAAGTGTACCAAAATTAGAAGTTTACAAAAAGGGAAACCTATTTACTAATGCTCATTCTTAATCTAAAACCCAAGGGGTTTTGGAAGAACCACCACCATCATCATCTTCAACCATTTTCCTGAGCTTCAGTTTCCTAATTCTTTCAGAGGGTTTCCTCTTTTTCTACCAATGGAAATTCTAAGAACCATGACCGCAGGGTATCACTCTTGCTCGAACCTCTCTGCCTTGAACTTCTTCTTCCTCAACCACTATGCCTTCAACTTCTTCTTCCTCAACCTTTCTACCTTGAATTTCTTCTTCTTCAACCTTTCTCTCTTTTCAACTTCTTCTGCCTCAACCTATCCCTCTTCAACTTCTTCTTCCTCAACTTCTCTTTCTTCAATCTCTTTTTCCTCAACTTCTCCACAAACCTACAATATGACAGGCTAGTTAGTAAAGCTACAATATGAAAGCCAAAAATAGTGTAACAACACATACCTCTTTCATAGAAACCACTGCATCATCATGTGTATATCCAGACAACAACGACTCCTTTAAAGTAAGTCTTTCATTCATCTTCACCTCATTTTCATTCTCTAGTTCCTGAACATCCTTTTTTGCTTCACTCATAGGTTGCTTACCATTAGGTGAATGGGTAAAAAGATCATCAAAATCCTCATCACAGGTTAGGGACACATCTTTCTTTGCTTGACTCTTATGTTTCTTACCATTAGGTGTTTTCTTTGGTGTTTTGTTCCTTGATCTAGAAACTTTAGTTTTCCTTCCTCTCCTTGCCATCATCTTAGTCCTTTTCATAGGACTAACAGCAGGACCACCTACTTGATTACCAGAATCTGAAACTGAAGGAGGAGCAACATCCCTTCTTGGTATAGCAGGCCCAACTAGAGGGAATTGGTCAAAGATAGGTCGGTCTCCCCCATCTTTCCTAGATCTTCCAATCTTCCTTTTTGGGGCAGGGAGCTTATTTACCTCATTATTTGTGCATGAAATCTTATTATGCCCAAGTTGTTGGCACTTTCCACACCTCATAGTCCTAGGAACCTTTAACCTTTGTGAGGGGTATTTGGCATCTTGTGATTTAGATGCATGTTTCACTCTCTTTACTTTGGGTCTTCTAGGCATCCTTCTAACTGGGGGTGGTAATGGTTTAATAAACTCAGTCATTAGCCACAAGTTGCTTCCACCTACAGGTTGTACGTTCTGACTGTATATTGCAACATATTTGTCCTTGTGGAACCAAGAAGACAGGAATTGACTTGGATCTTTGTGGACATAGTTGATTGCAGCTTGACGATGCACACATGGTATGCCCAACAACATCCACAAGTTGTAGGTGCAAGTGTGAGAAGCTAAATCAACCTTGTATCCGTTAACCTCAAACACATCACCACCACTTGGCACTACTATCCACAAGCTACACACAAAACAAACAAAGTACACATATAAATACTTAATATTTTTGGATACATGCCCATAAAAACTTATATTACCTCATATATTTCCCAAATTCATCAAGCTTCAGTTGTATATTAGGCCCACAATTACCCCTCCATTTTGCTACCTCTTGACCTTGATGAAAAAAACCTTTTCATAAGGAGAATCCTTATTTCCTCAAGCATTATGAGTAGAGGCTTCTTCCTTATTTCTTTGATCATGCCATTGAAGCATTCTGCCACCTCATTCTCTACTACTTCACAAGCATACACAGAAGAAAAGAATATTATGCACCAAGTTTCAGTTTTCCTTGCCATAAGATAGTTGTATCATGTTTCTGTTATCTTCTTTATCTTATCCATTGTAGCAAGAAAGTCCCCTTCCACTGTACTCATAGTAGCTTCCTAGAACAAATTCTTTAGCTCTAATCCTGTGTATTTCTTCCTAAAGTTTGCAAAGATGTGTCTAGCACATTATTTGTGCTCAACATGGGGGAGTAGGTCTGCCACAGCCTGTAGAAGTCCCTATAATTAACAAACAAACACAACACATGTAAATATTAATGAAAGTAACATACAAATATATATGGTATACTAGTGTATGTTGTGGTACCTTGTGTTGGTCTGAGATAACAACCACTTCATTGCCAGCACCAAGATCCAAATCAGCAACCAAATTCTCAATGAACCAGGTCCAGTTGTCCTTATTCTCAACTGCCCATGCTATTGGGTAGACATGGTTGTCTGTATCCCTCCCAATAGCAGTTAAAATCTCTCTCTTAACCTGCCCCATCAAGAAACTACCATCTATTAAGATTTATAATTTTAACTAATACTAATTTAAGATATTTAATTGTAGAAAAATGTCCTATTAAGATTTTTAATTTTAACTTTCCAAAAGATCAACATTTGAGAAGCTTCGGTGTATCTCTTTATATGTAAAAAATACCAAATGGAGAAAAATACAAACGATCATGGTTGGTCTATTTCATTGATGTAGATAAAGTTTTTTTGTTTTTGTTGTAAATTATTGTGGTTGGTCTATTCCATAGATGTATGTAAATTTTTTTGTTTTTGTTGTAAATTATCTAATGTGAATAATATATCTACATGTTCATTAGCAATAAAGGTAACAATGATTGAAACAATATTTATAGTATACTAAAAAGATATGAAACAAGTAATTGATATATTCTTAATATGAAAGCATTAATTGACTTACAAACTAGATTAACAAATAATAAAACAATTAACAAGCAAACCCAAAAACAGATAAATAAAGAAAAAAAACATTTGGAAAATATGTTAATGAATTAAATATATATTTATTACATTTAAATATAATATAAATTTAATAAAATGAAAAAAGAAACATAAAATAACACATTGATATAATTTAATTTAAATTTACCAAAATAACATGTGATATAAAGTGGTAAAATTATTTTCATTTAGTAAGGAGAATTTAGAAGAAAAAAAAAATTATTAAAAAAAATTAAAGTCAAACGTTTAATTTGGTGTGGACAAAACTGTAAGATTGGTCCCTGTGATATTCAAAAAACTTTGGATAGGGTCCAAAAGGTTTCCAACTTGCATGGAAGGTCCAAAATCAAAGTTTTCTGGGTTTTTGGTCCATGAGACACTTGAAAAGTCGATTTTGCACTTTTTGTTTCTTTTTTCTATTTTATTTATTTACTAATTAAAAATAAAAAAATATATTTCTCACTCACTCACTCTCTTTCTATCACACACACACACAAATACGGATCAGTTTCTCTCTCAGTAAGATGCATTCCCCAACAAACTGCTTGCCGGAGCTACTCTTAGTACACCACCGTTAACCACATTTCAAAATGGGAAAGAACTCAAAATTCTTCAAAGCACTTCTCAGATTCAGGACCACCAAAGCCCCCGCCACCCAATCTTCACGTTCAGAGCCTAAACAGCCAAAACGACGGTGGAGTTTTGCGAAATTGCACAAAGAGATTCCTCAGTGTTGACTCTGGGACACTTTAAAAAAAATACATTTTTTTGGACCTCCGATGTTAGATCTACGTGTTCTTGGGTCTCCGATTTTGCTCTATAACTCAACTTTAGATTTCATCTTCTCCCATAGAGCTGTCCTGATGAATATAATTTGGTTCAAAAGTCGATTTCAGACGTTCAACCCTTTCAGATCAAAAATCGATTAAAAAAATAGGTTGGAGATTTCAAGAAGATGGTATTGTTGTATATTTGGCCATTAATGTTCCTGAATTGAGGTGGAGGTAAACAGAGACAGTTTTGTTGAGAATCGATATCTTGCCTTCACTTTTAATTTCATTTTCAGGGTTTTGTTGAGATATAGGCTTCATAGCGCCGCCTACCATGGAGGTTATCTCTGGAATTACAGAGCTAGGGTTTCCAGCGATGGTGAAATAATTATGGTTTTCTGCGTCTTCTTTGTTTCCCAGTGCGAAATAAATGAACGTGAGGACGGCAAGGCAAATATGTGGATCGAAAGAGAGGCAGGTATCGTACAACCAATTACAAAACAAATCCTCGCCTGAGCCGGATTCCAGAGAGGATGTGAGCGAAGAAGATACAATGGTGTTCTTCAATGTTGAAGAACAAATAAATGTGAGTGTTATTGGTTACTGACGAGAGAGAGAGAGAGAGAGAGAGAGAGAGAGAGAGAGAGAGAGAGAGAGAGAGAGAGAGAGAGAGAGAGAGAGAGAGAGAGAGAGAGAGAGAGAGAGAGAGAGATTTTATTTTTTATTTTTTATAATTTTTTAAATACTAAACACAATTAAAAAAATGGTAAAAAAAATACTAAGGTAAAATAGACATTTCAATATTTTCGATCAAAATCAAAGAAAAACCTTGATTTTGGATCATGCAAGTTGAAAACTTTTTAAATCCTATACAAAGTTTAAAAAAAACAGTGACCAATTTTACAGTTTTATTGTGTCTAGTAGTTATTAAAGATCCACAGAAACTAAAGGCCGTTGCTTATAAATAAATAATAATCTCGTTAATTCGGAGGAGTACATTAAACTAAATTTAAAAAGATACTAACTAACTCTATTTAAACTAATTAATTAATTTATAATCATCTGGTACATCACAAGCCCTGTATTCGGGTTAGAAAGACGACGACGACGGATTATCTTTAGGTGAACAAAGAGGAAACAACGCCAACAATTCGGGTTCGGATCCTCTCGGCGTACTAAGCGGGCTCGGGTGCAAGTAAAACCCTTTCTCTGCAATGGCTCTTTCTTCTTCCTCCACTGGTGTTCGTGGGCTCCCTCTTCCGTACACGTCCAACGTCGAAACCGGTGACGACATCATCATCTCGCCGACGGTGAAGCTCCTTTGTCTTGACGACGGAGACATGATACCAAAAGGTCGGAAACCGTCGTTGAGAGTGATCTCGAGTTTTCCAGTGTTTTGTCTTCGTTCATGGAGCTTGAATCCGGATCTCCGAGGGGGGACTTCGCCGATAGGTCGCGGAGGGAAGAAAGGTTCTTGTGGGGTGGCGCCGGTGAGTCGTTGAACGACGGCGCGAAAGTTGGAAGGGTCGGCTTGGACGAAGGTTGTGGCGGGGGCGGAGTTGGAATCAGAAGCCATGAGAGAGATTGAAGAAGTTGCAATGGCGGTGTTGAATTTATATATGACGAGGTGGGCCTACTTGAATTACACCATGGGAGGGGCATCGAGTAGTGTAAGGTGTCAGGTGGCACGAAGGAGAGGGAAAATTCAAATACCAACAATTTATTGCGATTACAATGTCCTTCAGTTAATACCATAATGTTCTCTATGCTATTTAAGAACGGAAATTAGACAACACTGTGTATAACACAAGAATTAAAAGACAAATTGTACTATTATTTAATGATCTTCATATATATATATAAAATTATATTTTCGACAAGGACAATTTGTTTATCATGAACGAACCAAATTTCTAGCATTAAATAAAAAAAAAGTAATGAACACTTACGGGGACTTAAATACGGAATTTGACTTTGTGGGTTGTTTGTCATGGCATTAGGGATCGAATGTTGGGATTTTTGTAGCAGGATGGATTACTAATGTAGTTACTAACAAGTTAAAATCTAATGGGACCGGCTGTTGCAGAGCTTAGAAAACGGATTATAAAAACTTACATTGTTAAGGTACCAATGTACCATATCTAAAAGTCTTTGGTGGGAAAAGAGCACATATGTATGGTAAGTTTTAGAGAAAAACTACTAAATAGGAACCAATGTTGTCGAAAATGACTTTGATATAGTTGGCGACAAGTATCGTCTCAAAAAGTTTTCTTTTGTTTTGTTATTTCTCTAGCAACTTGTTCCAGAGGGTTTCTTCTTGGTTGTCGTTCTTATATTGGTCTTGATACTTATCATTTAAAAGAAAAGTTCAATTGTGTACTAGCCGTCACAACTGGTATTAACAATAACAATTACATCTTTTCAATAGTCTACTGTGTGTTTGAATAAGAGAAAACATAATAATGGACATGGTTTCTCGAGTCACTTAAAAAAACAGTTGGGACGCTAGATGGTCTTATTATCTATGCGACAAGGATTAAAATAGCCATGATGCATGTTTATCCTAATATTAAGCATAAAGAATGAATATGACACTTAAATAGCAACTTCAAGAAACAATTTTGCGATGGATTTTTCAACAAGAAACCATGAGGTGCTGAAAAACCTACCATCCTAATGAGCATGACATATTATTAATGGACTTATGGATGTAAGTGAAGATGTTAATTACATAAATAAATAACAACCATAAAAAACATGGAATAGAAGCAAGTTTTATGCATCTTCCAAGTGTGATTGCAACGCTAATAATATTTCAAAAACATTTTACTTTTTGGACATATGCATTGCATTATCATCATGTGCTTGATCTTCTTATTGTAATTAGAGAAAAGATTACGAAACTGTTTGATAAGAAAACAATGTTGGTGAAAATGGAACGATGTATTGATTCATATTGCTAAGAATCGTCTCAATAACATCTCTAAGGTAAGTATGTTATATTATATTTCAATTACATATGTATATTTATTTTAAACTTGGATGATACATGTATGTCTCAACAATATTTTTTTTTTACATGTATAGCTTGAGTGAATATGAAGTTTATAGAAGCTATGACAAAAAAAATAGAGTTAAACCATCAAATGAGTATAATGAAGGGCACAAATATGTGTGATATGGTGCGTAAAAATTCATGCAATAATCCTTCGTCTCAAGGTTTTGACCCAAATGAAATATTCACCTCTAAAAGGTTAACCAATTTCAATTTACTTTGTTTTATTTCATAAATAGATATCAATACGTATACAATGATAATAATATTTTTATTTACTCTAGGACACTTGTAAAGAATACAATGATAATAATATTTTTATTTACTCTAGGACACTTGTAAAGAATACAAAATCTCGTAGTAGCTTAGGAGTGTCGGGGTCCATGAGAAAAGGTCGTGAAATACAAATGTATGTTGGATGTTTTATTGTATGGTTTTCCTTATTAATGAATACATACGCTTTGGTTAATCTATTAATCTTCGAAATACATTATCAGTTGAATGTGTTTTGTATTGTTTTCTTTATTAATGAATATACACACTTTGGTTTGGTTGTTTTATTAAAAGAAGTGGGTTCGAGAAAAAAAAAACATGTTATTAATTTCTACATAAAATGTTCATAACAATGTTTAGTTATATTCAAATTTGTTAGAATAAAAGCATTTTCTGCACATAAAATTAAAAAAATTGGTTCAATTACCATGTGGTGTAACATTGAGAATAAAGAAAGATTTTGAACTTGACTTCTTTCAGTATTCAATGATGAAAATAGTATGACGAAAGTGCAAAATTGTTTCAATAGGAATTAATTATTTAATTTTGCATTTTTTTAACTTACTAATTTTGATTAAAATAATTATTTTAATAAATATGATATTTTGAAAGTTACCAATGAATTTGATTAGAATCATTAGGTGGATAAATATGATATTTTGAAAGTTATGAATAATATAAATGATATTTTAAAATAAATATATAAGAGAAATATAATAGTTGTTATAAAAGAATAAGCATTTTAAATGATTATAAAATATGAAAAATATTAAAAATAAGGATTTGAGAAATACAATATCTTAACAGGTTATAAATAGTAAATATTATATTTAAAAATTAAATTGAAGAGTTATTGCCATATATAAAAATTTCCTTATTTATATATAACATTTTTTCCTTCACTATTTGCTTTGGTCACGTCTCGTCCATAAACCTAAACTGTTGATTTTATATATATATATATATATATATATATATATATATATATATATATATATATAGGGTTAGGTTCATGTGAGACGGTCTAATTTTGTGAGACCGTGAGACGTATTTGTTTATTTTTTATATTTTTTTTAAAATTTTTTTTAGTTAATTCAAGTTCTGAAAATAATATTTAAAAAAAGAATTTTTTGATTTTATAATTTATTTTGCATTTTAAAATTATTTTTAGAATATGTACAGTGTAATATTTTATTTACAATATTTCACATATTTAAAAAAAATAGGATTTTTTTATTTTTTTATTTTTTTATTTTTTTTTAGTTAATTCAAGTTCCGAAAATAATATTTAAAACAAGAATTTTTAGATTTTTCCATTTATTTTTCATTTTAAAATTATTTTTTAGAATATGTCAGTGTCATATTCTATTTAGAATATTTCACGTATTTTTCAAAAAAAAAATGGGATTTTTTTAATTTTTTTTAATTTTTATTTTATTTTTTTTAGTTAATTCAAGTTCCGAAAATAAGATTTAAAAAAAGAATTTTTAGATTTTTCCATTTATTTTGCATTTTAAAATTATTTTTAGATTTGATCTCACGGTCTCATAAAATTAGAGTGGTCTCAAATGAACCTGAATATATATATATATATATATATATATATATATATATATATATATATATATATATATATATATATATATATGACACCTTGCATCAAAGAATCTTCTTTTCATTCAAAAAATTATTATGTTTAACTTTAAAATGTATTCAAATAAAATATGAGTATATGACATTATAAACTAAAAAACTACATACCAAATATACGTTTTAAAAAATAAATAAGAGAAAAATCACCTGTCAACTAACCCCGACAATACCAATAAAACTCATTCTAAAACTGGGTTGTAAGTTGTAATTGAGATAACAAGATGGATATGTCAGATTGGTTACTTAACGGGTTTATATCTATTTTCAATAGACGTGACAAACTCGGATGTATTGAATTATTGATGGGCCACTATTTGTTTATATCTATTGTGGGATTCTAAATATAAACCAAAATATTAAACATGATTATAAATACAAATTATACAATATTTAAAAAATATTATATTACCTTCCAGTAAAAATGTCTAAGTAATAAAATTCACTTTGATAAAAAAAAATATATACATATATATGGAATTGTTTGTAAATAAATAAATCAAAATTTAAAATCCTGACACGTGAGTTTTCATTAATAGTTGTTGTAGTGAAGTAAATGTTAAAAGGATGGGAAGTGTGAGAGGTGAATCCAGTGAAGGAGTGTGAGGTCAGATCAAACCAGTAACCAGTTGAGGAAGAGTCAAGTCAAGTCACGTACGTCAGTCGGTATTGGTGGCTGCCTGGCCGCTACATGCCATACGGATATTATATGGCCTCTCCGTCCTTGCTTGCCTTCTAATTACCAAAGATACCCGAGCATTGGGTAATGTCCATTAACATAATTTAATAAACACAAAAAAAGTTTCATCTTGCTACAATCGTTTGCAGTAAAACAAGTTTGATGGAGAAGATGACAAACAGGTTTCTTTAAACCGGTCCATTGATGTTTTATGATGAAATGTGGGACATCAACCTAAAGGTAAAAAGACGATATATATTCATAAATGAAACTGAGCCTACATATGAAATACTGTTTCCATAATTGATACCAGCCTAGACTGTTTTCATAATTATATCCGCTATTACTGTTTTAATTATTCATACCATTTGGTTATGTATTCGAAAAAAAATCAAAAATTTCATGTCTAACCTTACATTATTTTTCCATTTAGACATTTCTCTTCTCACAAGTCACACCATCCACCAAGTGATACCTTAATAAAAGAATATATATTATTTTTTACAAAAAGATAGTAAAAAAATATCAATAAATCTAAAATATTTTAAAAATAGTATCCATAACAAAGGATATTTAACACCTGTAAATAAATATTAAATGTTTTAGCTTTATATTAAGATATTAATTTATTGAGAGAATTTTGTACATAGCCATGTTAAACTTTAAAATATTATATTAGTTAAGCCTTAAATTTAAATAGAGAAATTAATCATCCTTATATTTTTTTCTTCTATCATCTTCGTATATATTTAATATTATAATACTTGTTATATTTAATAAAATTTTATTACATTTATCATCATCTAAAAATAATAGGATTATAGTAGGAAAAATAAGTTTAAAAATATCTACGTGTCCAAATTATTTTTTTAAACATATTTTAAAATCTTTTAATTAGGTTTCATATTTTACAATCGTT